GAGATGGCGGCACTCAGAGGACGACTGAGATTGTCTGTGGTGAAGATTCTTCGGCGAACCTCGTCGTTGGTGATTCACTGTTGCCAACGTATTCTGGCGATAGAACAAAGGCAACGGTGGTCAAAGACACTTAATCTCCGTACATCTTCTGTGTGGAGGGGCCAACTCTCACAGCCGCAGAGTAGGACAGAACGTACTGTTGCATTGTAAACGCGGCCTTTCAAGGAGAGACTTAGATCGCGTCGGCGCCACAAGTGACGTAGGTTAGCGAAGGCCACTCGAGCCTTGCGGATACGCGCTGATATTTCTTCCGTCAGTCCGCTTGAGCTGAAGCAACTCCCGAGATAAGTAAAGTGATCGACGATTTCCAGCTGGTCGTTCATAAGCGTGAGGACAGGTGTAGCCTCTTGCCAGTCTTGTAGTAACACCTTACATTTCGATGGAGAAAATGTCATACCAAACTGCGTGACGGACAATGCTAACTTACACAGGGCGTTTTGAGCGTCCTGGGAGGAGTCGCACAGTGAAACGATGTCGTCAGCATATTCCAAGTCGCTGAGTCGATCACCTTGGAGGAGCTCCACACCGGAAGCGCTGCAGTTTTCTAGAGCGCTGCTTAGGATTTTTTCTATTGCGTGAATAGGTGCCTCCTGTGATGTTGGTATCCTGTTTGAGTGATAAAAATCCAGTTAGTCAGAAGCTAATACTGCGTATTATATGTTCCGTTGCAGTAGATCCAACTTTAGAGTTCCGTTTTCGGCTTCTTGGAGCAAGTGGCGCAATTCGTCTTGGATGATTTCTTTTGAGTCAACAGTTGGGACACGAGCTGAATTGCGAACATGCCAGTTTGGAATTTCTCGTTTCCAACGAAATGAAGTCATTTTTAGATTTGCCAAATTTCATTGTTCAAGGGTTCACTTTGGTGAAGTCAGAACAAGGAATCCGTGCTCGGTACAGCAACTCTTCGGTGACCCCTATTTGGGTTGCCGTACTTCCGACAAACATGTTAGGTATATCTTGTGACTAACTGATTGGATCCGGCAGCTATCTGACCGTGGGTTTTGAGGACTAGCTCACTTTTCATCTCAGCCACCGGGTGATCACAGTACACTTTGCTGACCGGGATGGAGATAAGTACTTGTTTGAGAATTCAGGACGTCCCCAACAATGTTCGACTTTTTAGTCTGGAGTACACTTCTGGCGTTTCCACATTCAAGTGTAACCGAAACAGCTGGAGAGTTGTTTTGCGCTGATGCGCTCAGGTTCCGACTGCTTTTCTAGTCATTGGATCAAGAATACCATCTACCTACCTGGTTTGGTGGAGCTATTTCGCATGCATAGGTTAGACTGAGACTCATCGAGATTCAAGGAATTCGGTTTTCCTCGGGGGGGGGGGGGGGGGGNCCCGTCAAGCGGGTACTGGAGTGAAGCTGGCGCCGTATGCAAACAACTTCATGGGGCCATAATTTAGAGTTGGGTGGCTGGTGTGGACTAAAGGAAAGGAACTATTCCGTAGGAATACAGCAGGCTACTGACTAAGCAAGAGGCATTATCACAGTCGGGAACCGTAACCATCTACCACTTACGGTTTATTGATAATCTGTTCATCCACCAGGGGCAGACAAAAGACAGCAACCAAAACCGGCTCACGAAAGTGCATAGTTACTGATTGTTCGAACTGAACTGATAATCTGTACAAGGGCACTAATGAATGCATTGTGATCTTTTCTTAGTTCACTGAATCAAAACTGAAAGAAACCAGTCGCGAGATGTTCACATTCCGTTTAATCTCATCAATTGTTGGTGTGAAATAATCAGACACATTATATAGCACAAAGGGTTAGTACATGTTATTGAACAGTGAACACAGAGACAAGGACCGTTATAATTACAAAACAAAAGGTCAAAACCCTGCCAAGCGAACGGATTGCGGAAATTACTTTTGGGTACACAAGACCGGATGATGTGATCGTTTCACATCAGTGATTGAGGAGGTTAAACAAAATTCTAACATCTCGAGACATTTATGCTCCTTCGGTCTAGATTTAATGAATAAAGGGAACCTAGTTTTAGGTATTTTTTATTCTATTTCCAGCTAATAGAACTTCACTTTCCGGAACGAACAGAGCCAATGCATTAAACTACCCAGAAGGTGCTTTGGACCCCGTTGGTCCGAGGTTCGAGCCCACCACCGTTACCCGACTTTGGTGCTAGGCAGCTCTGCTGTCGTCCGGTTCAATACCACGCCTAACCTTGTGGGGCCATATGTGGTTCGCCACTCCAATCCCGGGGCTTAGGTGGCCGGTTTCCACCACTGTCTACGGGGTTCGTCCCGTCTGCTGTTCATCACACTTAAGTGTGATAAAAAAAAGGGAAAGAGCCAGAGGGCAGAAAAGGTCGCTTACTGTGCTATGCGTGTCCGTGTCTCAAGATCCACTGCCTTGATTGAAACACGAACCGGCATGGAACCGATATACCGTAATTCGTAACTGACCCCGGACTCTGGGGCCAACTGATCATCAGAATGCAACCACTTGGTTGACTTTGTCATGCCGGAGTTCATACTGCTTGAACATCCATCGGAATACGAGTCGACACGGTCTGTAGAATGAAGAAGAACAAGGAGAAAAGTTGATTTCACAAATAACCAGGCGTCCTCGTGACTATGGGGTTCGCCCCGTCTGCTGTTCATCACACTTAGGTGTGCAATAAAATAAATTTCAGTTGATGGTGAAAAGGTTACGAGCCTCGGTGAAACTATGACCCATGCATACATGTCGCTCACGTTTATTTACAGCATACACTCTTCCATTTTGCCTGTTTGCCGAGCTAGGTAATTTGTTTGCAAACGTTTTATCACCAGCCGAGGTGACATCATCAGTGCTTGTGAAGTGTCAGCATACACTCTATCAGGTGTGTATGTGCTTGAATCTCCTCAATAGAGTGAAGTTCGCTCCGCTGTATTTTGCTGTAGGACGACGACGATGATGGGATTATCGATTAGTGTCCAGCATATCACAATTGAAGACGGACATGATGAACCCACCGCTATACGACTGAGGCAGTGCGCGTGCAGTAGGTGAGCCGGTGGTGACCAGGAGCCAGCATATATATATATATATTCAATATCTATATAATCACACGCGATTTCTATCGCATATTGAACACGGGTTTACATATATCACACTTGATGGGTCGCGATACTCTCATGACGCTTATCGTTAATTAAAGTTATTCTGTGTTAAGGTAGGATATTGAGAAATCGTGATAACAAGCACGGTGACGTATGCTGTAAATGCTCTACTCGCGTAGGGTAGCACCGATCTTTTATATTTCATTTGCCTTTGCTTTTCATGAACCTACGAGGCATTGTGTAACAAAAAATCTGGGACTCTCGTTGATGACATCTGGTTGGAGCAATTGATATCATTCTAGGTTCTGAAATTCCGCACTCTGCGAAGTGTACCGACTTGAGCGACCATTCAAAACGCAATTCACTCAGCTTGCTTACACAGTTGTGGCTTGACCCGCAGAGTTGTGAAACAATTTTTGCGGTCACAAAATCGCATAGATAACTTGTGATAAACCACAGCGTGATCAAAGTCCAAGCAGATAGACCAATACGAACGGTAGTTTTTCATATAGCCTCCCAATCTATTGCTAATACCTATACGATAAATCTGAATCCACATTTGTGCCGAAGAGGGATTACGTCACGTAGCGAGGTGACGCTAAGGATGTCTGAAGTTCGCTCCAANGCTCCAAGGAGGAACAAACTGCATTCTTAGGATATACTTGAGGAAAGCTATCAATGCCGTAATGACCAACAATATGGGTCTCATAAGGCGGCAGACGGCTAACGCGTGCCTTTAGGTCTCCGATTCGTCTTCGCTGCTTTGAGAAGCTCCTGTAAGCTGTAATAGGTCTTTGACTGTATCCGGGCTACGGTCTGTGTGAGCGTATGCAGAAATCACGAATAAGCACCGCCTGTTTGATTCCTACTTCTCCACTTTACTTGAGCCCTGGAGTCCAACTGAGCATAGATGGCTGGCTACCGGGACCCACTCTAATATTACACCCTCGATCCTGGTGCTTAGAGCAATAACCCCGATTGCTTGACCAGACGTTGGTTTGATAGGATCCCCGGAAACGACGAGACTGCACCTTGGAGTGGCGTGATGGCTTGCATGCATCCATGGTTGTACAGACCAAAACTGAAACTGAGACGACGTTGCGCTGCTAAGTGAAGATCCAGGTAAGTTGCAATCTTTCCTTGATAGGTTGAATGCCAGTGTAGCCACGTTGGGTATACATTTCAAAGTGTAAAAGGCTACTCCAAGACTGGGTTGGTCCTGCAGCCAGTCTCACCCTAACTGGGGAATTATTAGAGCAAGTGGATAAGTTTTGTTATTTGGGCATCTCACCCGGTGGACGCATCACGGATGGAGTGTCAGCTCGCATACAGAAGGCTCGGTTGACATTTGCTAACTTGAGACATCTGTGGCCCTGCCGCGACATCCGGCTGTCCGTGAAGGGTCGAGTATATGCTGTGACATTTCGGCCAGTTCTGCTATATGCAGCAGAAACTCGGCCATTGAGAAAACAGGATAAAGATAAACTGTCGGTGTATGAACACGGCTGTCTACGAATCTGGTGGGGAATCCGTACAAGCAATGCTGAGGTTAGGCGCAGAGTTTTAGGTCAATGTGTTCACCCACTGGAGCAAATGGTCGACCTCCATAAATTACGTTGGTTGGGGCATGTTTTGGGCCTGTCACCAAATAAGTTGCCAAGGTGCGCGATGTTTGCCGAGGCAGATAGTGAGTTGAAAAAAGTCAAGGGTGGTCAAGCTTAAACCTGATATGAGGGTATGAAGACCATAACCAATAGTTTGGGTCACATAGGTCGCATTAGGAGCCCAGGATGGGGACGTCGGGATGATCATACCTGATGGTTAGAGACATTGAGTGATATGGATGCGTGTCGGAAACATTGGCGTTCGTGCATCTCAATTTCTGTTCAATACTAGTCCACTGAAATTCTATTTTTTTTCTTTGATACTGCTTTTAACCCCTTCTGTCTTACTCCTAATGTTCATCCAATTGGGCAGCCAAAAGACAGCAACCAAAACCGGTGCACGAAAGTGCATGGTTAATGGTTGTACAAACTGAAACTGAAACCCGGAAACGCGCAAATGAAACGTTTCTTTTCGATTGGAAGGAGAAGTCCATCGGATTACTGGGCTCGGATTCGAAATGCGTTTCCGAAAGGTAATCTCTAAACTTTCGAGTGTACGAGCCAAATGTGTTTTTTTGACCTATACGCATTAAGGTTCTTATGTTGAACGAAGCCAGTTTGCACACCGAGTGAGGTGAGAGGAGTGGAACGGTAGGCTCCGAGTGACACGGGACTGCTAAGACAGATGTCGAGGAGAACAGCAGCGAGCTACAACGTGAACCTTTGTCCACCTGACAAGTTGCATAACGGCTGGCGGAGGTGTGAGCGAGGAGATCTCTCACCATATATTTAAACGATTTCGTCAACGTATCCCGCAAACAGTACAGTTTTTCTCCAGCTTTCCATTCAATGCATACATTTTGGAGACCACTTGGTGCTTTCTGCAGTATTTTGTCTATGACGAAACAGAAGAGGAATGGCACGCTTGAACAACACCACTTGTAGTTGCAAACGACCTACTCAGCTAGTCACAGACCTTTACGCTACCAGAAGTATGCAAGTACAGTGACCGCAATCGGTTCACATAGTTCAGGTGAATTCCTTCGGGCAGAAGCGAACCCATAAGGGCTACGCGATCAACTGAGTTGAAAACCCTCCTAGATCGAAAAAAACGACAACCGTTGGTCGAAGGTGGTTATAAAGTAGCTGGAGGACTCGAGGCGCACGAAAGTGCATGGTTAATGGTTGTACAAACTGAAGTGAACTGAAGATTTGGTCCATACAAGCGCGACCTAGTCGGAATCCTGCTTGTTGTTCGCGAATATTTGTCTTCCTGAAAGGAGTCAGTACTCGAAGTATTGCAGGTTAACACTTCGGTGGCAATTGGGATCAAACTTATCCCGCGGTGGTTTGTCCATCACGATTGGATGGTTCCGTAAGGATCAACAGCTGCAGAACAAAACGTCGGTGTTTGTCCGTCGTATCCGCGTATGCACCGACTGATTGCAGTTCGCCAGAAATGAGGGGTGAATTCTACAAGGACCTCTCTCAACTGCTCCGAAGTGCTCGGTCAACGAACATCGTGGTACTCGCTGGGGACTTAAATGCTCAAGTGGGATCCCTGGGCGAAACAGAAAGGCTACTTGATGGTTCATGTGCAATCCCAGCTAACCGGACTGACAACGGAGAACGCCTACTCCAACTTTGCGTTGACCACGGACTGTTTCTGTCAAGCACCGGCTTATACAGAGACCGCCAACCGCTTCACAGGGCTGGACTCAAATTAACCACATCGCCATCAGCAACCATTGGCGCGGATTCATTGAGGACTGCCGCTCCTACTAGTCAACACCTGTGGACACGGACCATGCTCTGTTACGAGCGAGATTCTCCCTAAGCCTGATAAACAACCGCAGAAAACCACCGAAAACGGATGTCCACAATACAATATCAGCCACGGTTGCAAATCGGCCTTTGAAGTGGAACTATCAGATCGCCTCTCAACTCAATCCTCCACCAGAGGACTCAGTGAACACTGGACTACAATCAAAGAAGCGATCCAAACATCAATCAAAACAACGGCAAATTCTGGAAGGCGATCAAATAAAAAAGATGGACCTCCCCGACCTCGGTTGTCCTGCTGGACGCTCGCAAAACCATTCCTTCGGGTTCAAAATACGGCAAAGCGCGCAAATCCCCCAAACGCCATCAAGAGTCTGAGGAATGACCGCGAGAAGTGCTGGGTAGGGAAGTGTAGAGAGATAGCGAAGGCTGCGGTTATCGGTAATGGTCGCAATCTTTTTCGTTTAATTAGGAGTACAGGACCAAGGAAAATAGGCCTAAGTGAGGTAATTAAGGAGTCTGACGGCATACTGATATGAATTCAGGAACGCCGTCTTGAACGTTGGGTAGAACATTTTGAGGCGCAGTTCAGCTGGTCCCCGTCGACACAAGACCTCCTCC